GCAGCCAAAATCAGCCTTTCATGAGGACCTCTCCAGAGACAGACCCAAGGGCCTTCCACAGGTGGTCTTGGGTCTTCCTATCTGTCTGACAAACACTGTTTTTGCTGTATTTGGCAATATATTAGTTTTGTTCTCCTTCCCTTCTTTTGGTCAAAGAAGAAAAAAACCCAACTGAATTAGAGCCCTCCTTAATTACATTTATTCATTGGCTCTGGGGAGCTGTACAAAAACAACCCGTTGCTTGTTAGGGAGTGTGTCATTTTATTCCAAATGGTTCTTCCCAGGCCTTTCTGTGTCTGTTTTAATGCTAGCTGGGGTGTGGGAATCTGACCTGGTGTGATCTCTGGATGACGTCGAGCAGGAAGCCTGAGGTGGTAGAATGCTCTGGTGATGGGCCTCACTGGCTCTGAAGCCAAATTGTTTGGGTCCAGATCCTGTCTTTTTGCTGACTTGCTCGTGAGCTTGGGGAAATTACTCAGCCTTTCTGTGCCTCAGTTTTGCCATCTGTTCCATGGGGATTAACATTCCTTTTAAAAAAAGAAAAGGCCCCAAACCAGTGGTTGTGCATCCTAGCTCTGTACATGATGAGGCTTTTGACAGGTATCTTTATGGAAATAGATCACCAGGTGGTTACTCTCGTTTTACCTGAGCCCGCCGTGGGAGAAAGATGAGACTTTCTACTCCCTTAGGAGTTGCGGTCTTGGGAACTCGAGGGCAGTTCTGCTGTGTCCTGCAGTCACTGTAAGTCAGAATTGACTCGTGGCAGTCAAGGGCTCTGTACTGTTAGGTGGGTTCCAACTGCCAACCTTCAGGTTGAGCACACACCATTTGGGCCACAACCATTTGGGTTCTACTCACTGCCATCGAGGCAATTCCGACTCTCAGCAACCCCATAGGACAGGGTTTCGAACTCTTCCTGTGGGTTTCTGAGACTATCACTCTTTATAGGAGTAAAAAACTTCATGTTTCTCCCACAGAGCAGCTGGTGGTTTTGCACTGCCAAC